GGGGCTCCGCGCCGCTTCCGGGCGTCACCGAGCCGGCCGGCCCTCCTCGGGGGCCTCGTCTCTTCTCCCATTGGCCAGCCGCTCTCTCCCTGCGCTCCCCGCGCTGCTGATTGGTGCGGAGGCTCCGTCGGTCACCTGCTCCGCTGTGGGAATCTAGGTCGCCCAGGGAAGCGTTACTCGCGGCTCGGTTGGGAAGAGGTTGGTTGGGCCCTGGAGCCCAGTTGGTTTATTGTAGTGGGGACCGTACCCCGGCGCGAGCTTCGGTCGCAACGGCCAGGAAAGGAACCAGTAGCCGGCCGGAGGGCGGGGTGGCGAGAAAGTGCAGGTTTAGAAGTACACTGGAGACACCTGACCCTGGCAACATCCCAGTAGGAACGGGATAGGAAGGAAGGCCTTTGGGAGAGGAGTTGGAATCCCAGGAGCAGTGACAGCGTAGGCGGCAAGGCCTAGTTTCCGTCGTGGGAGAAAGGGCCTTGCGGGAGGTTTTCCTGACCTAATTGTTTGGGGATCTTATTTCCTAGGCGAGCGTCTGACAAAATCCACTGGAGATTGTGCTTTGACTTTGCAGCAGTTAGGAGACCACCTGCAGTCCCTAGCCTTCGAAGAGACTCTGAATAATTTAACTCTCTTTTGTTGCTTTAGATGGGCAGCTCTCAAAAAAAGCACAAACCATTGAAGAATGGATACCATTGCACATGTTAAAAGCATGTTGAAAGGAAAATAAGGTATTCACTTTGATTTGCGGTTAATTGTACAGGAAAATTACTTTTGAGAAGGAGCTCTTGAGTTTTAGATGCTGTTAGGGTAGCTGGATTTTATGATACGTTTCAAATTCTTAAGTTGTATAATACAAAAATCCTATTACTGCTCTACTACCAAATATGCTTTTTGCTAACAACGGTCTAGTCTTGATTATTTTGAAAATGGAAAGAAATCTTGACTCTAGGAATGTTAATTTACTTGTGATCAAATAGTGCTCCTAGATCTGTCCTTTAAAAATGATGTAATAATCACTGTAAAAAAAATCCTTGAATTTGTAATTTCATATCAGAATATGCATGAAATTCGATAGTTGCTTACTCATACAATACTTTAGACTTATAGACTAATTTCACTTTATATTTAAAGTAGTTTGCTTATTAAACCCTGAGTCAGAGTTGCCACAGTTGCTTTACTGGCAATATCGCTTGTTTGATCCTCCAGCCTCTATTAAATCTTGTGCTACATCACGTACCAGCAATTGTCAAGGAAGAGTTTATTTCATCCACAGAACACCCAGTTTAGCTCTTCAATATGGACTTGGCCCGACCCTGGAAAATTCCGACCTAGGATTGGGGAAGAGATCTGGGCAACTGTATTTCTTAAAATTTTCTCAAATGAGTTTGATGTGCACTCCCAGGTGAAAACTGTTGCTTTAACGACTTACTAAATAGATCTGTTTAAGAAATTCTTAAATATTTATGAAACAAATAATTTCCTTCCTTGATTTCCTTATAGTTTAAAAGTAAACTAGGAATGATATTTAAATAGAATCTAAAAATAGCATTTGCCAAGGGAAGGTCAGAAAGGTTCATTGGCACCCTGAAACCTCTGGGACTAACCTTTCTGGGCTTAGGGATGAGGTTTGGGATGGGGAGACACGAAGCACTCTGAGGCACTTAATCCTCAGAGCCACACATCGAGTGCGGTCTCCTGTCAGGTTTAAGGAGAGATCAGCGC